ATTTCCACTGAATTTTCAAGAAATTTCGACACAGAAACTGGAAAACTATTCCGTAAATTCAATGGAGTTTTAATGAATTTTGAAAATACACGATGACATTGATAAATCAATGATAATTATGAATTCCAGATGGGACATTGCCTCAAAATGAAAAGGGATGATAAAAATTGTAATGATTTCCTTGAATTTCATGGGGTGTTGGACAGAAATAGCAGGGGAAGATCGAGGGATTCTCATTCCTCGAAAAATCCGAAAATGTCTAAGACAACTTGAGAATACAATAGTTTAGTTATCATCATAATAATGATAATTTAGTTGATATAAATTCGATTGAATCTTGAATGAAACCTGCAAGTTCATGATTGTTTCGTTGGGAATTTCCACTGAATTTTCAAGAAATTTCTACACAGAAACTGGAAAACTATCTCGTAAATTCAATGGAGTTTCAAAGAATTTTGAGAATATACAATTACATTGGTAAATCAATGATAATCATGAATTCGCGACGAACTATTGTCTCACACTTCATAGGAATGATAAAAATTGTAATGATTTCCTTGAATTTCATGGGGTATTTGACAGAAATAGCAGAGAAAGATCGCGGGATTCTTATTTCTCGAAAAATCCGAGAATTTCCTAGACAACTCAAGAATCATTTAGTAATCATAATAAGAATAATAATTTAGTTGAATTTCAGGAGTATTATTTTAGAGATGAATAATTGAGATAGGAATTGAGATAATATCGTTAAGATAAATTCAATTGAATCTTCAATGAAAATTGGAGGTTTATGGTCTTTCCCTTCCAATTTTTCATATTTTTTTTGGTTCAAAATCTGAGAGGGTGAGGGTCATTAACTCATTTCGTTAATTATTTGGTTGTTTCAAGAGTGTGTGATAGAATGGGTGCTCTTTTGCACAGATTGAATGATGATTTTTTTGGATAAACTCCGTGATGCTCATGAATCGATTATCGGTGTTTTGTTCATTATTATGTTTGCTATCTCATGTAATTTAGTTATAATAGGTGACGTATTTATGCGTAGATATGATGGTAGTTTTCATTTGTTTACAACGTTTTCACCCATTTTTTCATTCTGCTTTTTTTTTGTCATTTTCCCTCTTCAGTTTCTCTGCGTATTTAATTTCCCAAATCTTCTTTTGCACTGCTGCTTTTGCTATTTTCTGTCTCTTCATTTCTTGCACTTCTTCTTCGCTTTTCCTTTTCTCATCCACCACTCCTTAACTATTTTTTACCATCTCTTCGTCCTTGTGAAGAGCATTTTCTTTCCTGACTCTTTGTTCTTCAGTGCAATTATTCTCAAAAATATACATTCTTGAGAGTATGGTATTCAAAATGTTCCTACTTTCCTTGAAATACCATAATGTTTTTCGGAAAGCATTAATATTGGAAATCTGGAAGAAGATGGGTAGAAGTACTTTTTTTTAGAAAGTTCAATTTCCTTTGATGGGTTTCATTTCTCTGTAGTCAATTGTACATTACCATTCTTCCCCTGAAGAGAGCTTTTCGTTTTGTTTTTTCGGTGCTTTCATAATAGCCGAAATCTGAATGCTGTCGATCATCTTTTAAACCAATTTTAATCACAGTTGAGCATCCCACATGAAATTTTCCATCTCTTATCTCTTCAAAGTCTGGAATTGATATTTGAAAGCATAAATGAATGAATGTATTATTCTCTATCACCTCTGTTGAATGATGAATCAATTTAAATTACCAATTTTTTGTTCCACTAAATTGTGAGACCATCCAATTTTTTGGAATGCATCATCTGCCGTATAAATGAGACTGGCATATATGTCCGAGTAATTTTGGGTCATTATTTCCTAATGTTATCCTAAATTACACCATTTATGTAGGTTAAATTCGCAGGAAATGAAAATTATTCATAAAAATTGACAATAATACCTCTTTCACTTCTTCAATTCTGTCAGTCAATTTTCTTCCACCTTTCTCTTTCTCTTTCTCTCTCTTCTTCCACCTCTCTCTCAGGCTATGAATTAATTTTTCTCTGATTCAGGAAAATTGGTGCTGTTTTAATAGGTGCTGTCTTTTTCAGTTTTACGAAATTCGTTGACAACTTCAAGGTTTCACTTTATTTTGGTTACATTTCTTTAAATTGTTCGATTATTGCACTGTGGAATTATAATATATGAGAGAGAAACTATCAAGTGATCAGCATCTATCAGTACATTTGAGAATATTGACTGATTGTGAGAAACGAAGTGATCCTGCTGTGCTCAAGTCATTGTGTAGGTTCAGTCATCTCAACACTAAAGTTGTACAGAAAAATATGTTGTACTAGAGCAGTTCCACGTCAAAACGTGAGGCGATAAAAGTCGATGTCAGGGATTTCCTTGGTGATTTTTTTCTTCAAATTAACACCGATATCTAATTTCGGTCTTGAGCTATCAAATTGCCCTTTAGCACACAAAATGAACATAAAAAAAGCTTCAAAATGAGACGTTATACGTGGCATTCCATGCGATTCTAGTGGCTTTATTAGACAAAACGTGTTTTTTTTTTCAATTTCAATTATCTCACATCACGTCATTTTTTAAAAATCTGAAATTTTCACGAAAAATCGTCAGTTAGTTGATGAATATTTCGATGACAATTAAAGTTATTTCTTCGCAGTAGTTCACTGGAAATTAATGTTTCAATCATGGAAACTAATAAAATTTTTAAAAAATGAGGGTTAATTATCCGATGATCTTGAAGATGAGTGGATTTTCGATAAAATACTCGTAAACGTAGAACTTTTTTGATTATTCTATCAATGTATATGCTATGGTATGATTTGATCAAGAGTCATGAGATAGGATGGGCAGTAGATAGAGAAACCGACTGGGTTTTCTGTTACAAATTATTTTGAGAAATTTCTGTCGTAAATCCCATCATTATTGGCCTGATTATTTAATAAAAATACATGGTCAGAGGCTTTTCAAGAGTTGATAATGAAGGAATTTACGAGAATTTCTATTTTTCAATTTTTTTGTCAATTCCAAGTATCTCAAATACCTCTTTATTTTATCTGAAATTTTTACTAAAAAACTTCAGTAAGATGCCGAATGTTTTGGTGTCAGTAAAAGTTATTTTTTCGCGGTAGTACACCGGATGTTAATGCTTTAAGCATGCAAATTAATGAAAATTCAGAAAAATTAAGGTTAATTATCGAATGATCTTGAGAATGAATGACTTTCTGATTTATTATCAGATCATGGACCGCTCAAGTCGAGATGCAAGTTTATACAGATCGGAACAGTTCGAGACGGAGTGATTATCGTTTCTGAAAACAATGGACAATAGGCGTAATTGTGGGAAGAGATTACGATTACAATTATATCACAGCGTATTGAATGGAACCTCATGGACCTTCAAGTGTTTATAAAGATTCAACACCTCCGAACATCATAACTACATCATTTGAAAATGTTTGTGTGGAGTAACTCTGAAGAGATCGAGATCCAACACATTCACAATTCCCAAATGCGTCGAAAATGCCATTTCCCGTAAATTTCTTCATTGTCAACTCATGAAGAGCCTCTGACCATATATTTTGACGAAGGGTTCTATTTGGCGAGGATCATGAGGGTCAAGTGTCTACAGAGTTCAATTCCATGAGGGCGAACAGGGTTCAATTTAACAAGGGTCAAGTGTCTGAAGGGTCCAATATCACGAGGGTCAAGGGTCTGAAGATCTCAATTTCACATAGGTCATGAGACCCCTCAGACGTTTGACCCTCGTGACCCTCGTGAAATTGAATTCGATAGACGCTTGACCCTCGTTAAATTGAACCGTGGTGAACCTTGTGAAATTGGATCCTTCAGACGCTTGACTCTCGTTAAATTAAACACTCGTGATCTTCGTGAAATTGAAACCTTCAGAGGCTTGACCCTCGTGAAATTGAACCTCTTAGATGCTTGACCCTCACTAAATTGAATCCTCGTGACCCTCATTTAATTGAACCCTTTAGACGCTTGACCCTCATTAAAATGTACCCTCGTGACCCTCGTGCAATTGGGCCCTTCGGACGTTCGACCCTCGTGAAATTGTACCTTTTAGATAGTTGACTCTCATTGAATTGAATCCTCATGGCCCTCGTCAATTCGGACCCTTCAGGCACTTGAACCTCGTTAAATTCAACCCTCGTGATCCTCGTCGATTTGAACCCCCTGGACGCTTGACCCTCGTTAACCCATTGCGCCACCAAGCTCACGAAAAGTATCGGTGTGATGGTGGTGGGGGACTAACCAACGAGTACGCGCAACATGGCTGTGTGCGACTGCGGCCGAGTGTTGGTGCGTCGATGAGTTCCTCACCACACCGAGTGTCAGGCCCGTATCCACCTTTTCACTGCGACGGGCGTATGGCTGTTTTTTGTGTTCCATAATTGTTTTTCCTTCAAAACTCATTTCTACTCTATTATTTATTTCTTTTGTGAATTGATTCGTGATCAAGAGTTATGTGAACAAACCAGGAAGTTGGAAGTCTAGTTTTAAGGTTACGTTAGGTAAGTCTGTTGACATGGTTCGAGATTTCTGTCTTTCGGTTACTTCTTCCAAATAGAAAATTGAACTACAAATCAACCAAATATCATAGTCAAACTCTCAAATTGTATATGTATTGGATATTGTATTTTTTTTATCATTCCGAGACATGGAAAACGGTGGAAACATTGATACTATATTCTTTCTCTCGCTCAGTTCATCTCTTCCCCTTTATTATTATCAAATTGATTCCCAATTATTCTTTATCTGATTATTGAATATTTCATATTTTTGTCCATTTGGATATAGTCAAAACGCTGAAAACGTTGACGTGGTTTTTTCCCTTGTACGGTTGTTTTTTTCTCAAAATTATTAAATTATCATAATTTCAAATGATGGAAAAAAGAATAATTTCTATTTTTTTTCACTCATAATCATTATATTAATTGTAAATTATTGTTTCTGGTGTGAATTACGGATATTTCAGTGATAATGTATGGAAAAAAGCCTCCGAAAAAAACAATCAGTCAGAAAGACCCTCCCACAGCATCTTTTAGATCAACAGGAAGAACAAAAACAACAAAAAAACAAACCACAAAAAACCAACCAACCAAAGCAAATCAAGACAATGACAAACCAGACGTCAGGAGGTCAGAACGTCCGAAAGTATCGAATAAAAAATTGCAACAAAAAATAAACGATTCAGAGGATTTAGGAGATGATGACAGTGATGTGTCCGATCGCCCTTGGAATTACTCTTCGGGTTCTGAAGCCGATGATTCTGACAATGAGGCCCCCACACTACAGCAGTGGTCGAAGCTGGTCGTCGATCACCCCGTGGAAGATTTCAAGCTACGTAGAGGACCACGCCATGATTTACCCGTGGATGCTACTGAATACGACTATCTAGAGCTCTTTCTTGATGTAAATTTTTATGAGGGCATAGCACGAGAAACAAACAGATATGCTGAACATTCACAGCGAGTAAAAGATAGAGTCGATTCCAGATGGATACCAGTGACAGCACCAGAGATGAGGGCCTACTTCGGGATTCTGATTTATATGGGTATCATCAAGGCACCCACTGTGAAGCATTATTTCTTTGGAGACTTCGTTCTATGTCCTCTCGTATCTAATGCGATGACTTACACACGTTTTCTACATATCAACAAGTAGCTCCATTTAGTCGACGAGGAAACCTGAGATACAAGTGACATACTGTCAACTGTGAGACCAGTACTTGAAGTGACGAAGAAATTTGAAACGTGTTTTCAGCCCGGTCAAGACCTCTCAGTGGATGAGGCGATGATCGCGTTCAATGGCAGGTTGTTAATCAAACAGTACATGCCCGCAAAACCAACTAAGTGGGGAATAAAAGTGTGGACAATTGCAGACCCGAAGAGTGGTTATATGCTTGGGATGAAGATTTATCTAGGGAAGAAAGAGCCGACCCAGGACAAGAGCCTACTTCTAGGGGAACAGGTGGTATTAAACATGACTGAGCCTTTTTCTGGAAAGTTCCATCATGTTTTCTTCGACAATTTCTTTTCTTCTGTTCGTCTTGTGGAGCTTCTGATGTTGCGCAAATTGTACAGTTGTGGTACAATTCGAGCAAATAGGAAAGAGTAGCCCGAGGAATTTCGTAAACCCGCCAAGCTAAAGCTGAAGCCTGGTGATTGCATTCAAATGCAGAGAGGTGACACCACAGCAACGGTGTGGCACGACAAGCGTGATATTTCAATGATCTCTAATAATGGCAATCCACTGATACGTGTTGAAAAACGCAGAAATGAAAGAAGAGGAAGTCAAAAGTCCATACAGTGTCCATTACCTGTGGCAAAATATAATCAAGGCATGGGTGGAGTAGATTTATGCGATCAAAAACTCTCGTATTATTCAGTTGGGCGTACAACAGTTAAGTGGTGGAAGTATGTGCTTTACTTTATCATCAATGTCTGCATCGTCAATGCTTCCATTCTTCGAGATGGAACAGCTAGACCCTATCATCGAAGTAAACCTCCTGACCAGCTTGAGTTTCGAGAGAATTTGGTGCGTCAAATGATTGGAGATTTTTCTTCACGAAGACGATCTATTCAACATTGTACTATTAACACTAATTCTCTCGACGATGTGCCACATGAGTTGGAACATATTAGTGCAAGAAACTGCTTGGAGTGTGCTCGAGAGGGGAGGAGAACCAAAAGAGGCTTAGCAATACGTACAACTTGGCAATGTGTGGGTTGCCAAATGGCTCTTTGTAAAGATTTCTGCTTCAGACAAGCCCATGGGTTCCACGAGATCGAGAAAGTGGAACCGTAAATGTGATAATTCGTTCTAAGTCAATTTTTTGTATCCGGGAAGAACATTTTTGTAGAGTTTTTGTTTGCGGATACTTTAGAATCTACCAAAGAGCAAAAATTTTGTAGCTGTCATTCCGCCCTACGAAATTTCTTTTTTTTTCTTTCTTTTATCACCCTACAGAAAAATTAATCACGAAAAATTCGATATCCCTCATAAATTGAAAGATAATTATCGAAAACTGTTGTCAAAGACAAAAATCAACAACTCAATAGAGCAAATCAGCGGAACAATTAGTCTTTTGAAGAATATCTGGGAATCGACGAGAGATTGCGAAATTTTTGTGATGAACTTTTTTGTAGATGCGACTCTACTTTATAACAAAGGTTTCTGCAAAAATCTCGCCATCTAGATTCAAAGATATTCAGCAGTTCTGCAGTTGAGTTTAGTCATTCCATTCTTCGATTTTCCTACTGATTCATAGAAAAGAAATCACTTTTGTCAATTTCGTTTTGCAAAATTAAATTTTGATGATCCCAAATACTGAGGTAACGTATTTTTTTATTGTTGTATTCAGTGTCTTTATTATAAACTACAAAATACATGCAATAGAAAAAATTATAAAATTACGTTTTCCCGTTTTTCTCTCTCTCAACGCTAGCGCCTATGATTTTTTAACGGTACCGCACATACGTGCCTGGGCGCGCCATCCCCACCTCTGTCGCTCGCGCGGAGCTATAGAGTGGGGACAGACGATGGTGGCGCAATGGGTTAAATTGAACCCTTCAGGTGCTTGACCCTCGTCAAATTGGACCCTTCAGATGCTTGACCATGTCGTCCGAGAACTGACACGGGTGGATTTTTGGTGTCTGAGAACTCAATCCAGGGAGCTGTGTTTTGTTTTTATAAATATTCATGAAATTTCTGAGTTTTTCAATCGAAATCAAGCTCATTCTTGTTCCAAAAACATCAAAGATAACTTTCGAAACGGTAGACTTCATATTTGACTAAAAAATGACCGAATAATGCGCTATTGATGATTGGGTTACCCTTAACTGTCCGAGAACTACCGCCCTCATGGTATACATGAATAGAATAATCAAAAAAGTTCTCCGTTTACGAGTATTTCATCGAAAATCCACCCATCTCCAAGATCAGCCGATAATTAACCCTCATTTTTTACATTTTTTATTAGTTTCCATGATTGAAACATTAATTTCTAGTGAACTACTGCGAAGAAATAACTTTAATTGCCATCGAAATATTCATCAACTAACTGACGATTTTTGGTGAAAATTTCAGATTTTTAAAAAATGACGTGATTTGAGATAATTGAAATTGAAAAAAAAACACGTTTTCTCTAATAAAGCCAGTAGAATCGCATGGAATGCCACGTATGACATCTCATTTTGAAGGTTTTTTAATGTTTATTTTGTGTGCTAAAGGGCAATTTAATAGCTCAAGACCGAAATTAGATATCGGTGTTAATTTGAAGAAAAAAATCACCTCAATTTATCAATTCAAAAAAAATCAAAATTTTCAAAAAATCATGACTCCATCAATTTTCAATATTTTTTAATTATTTTTTTTTCAAAATGTTCGTTTGTAGACAAGCTTTCAGGAAAAAAATCGCCAAGGAAATCTCTGACATCGACTTTTATCGCCTCACGTTTTGACGTGGAACTGCTCACTACAGAACCAAGGATAATGTAATGGCCAGTAATTCGAACAGTGTTGCGAAATTTGCACCAATGCTGAGGACATGAAATTAAAATCTAAAAATTGTGTCAACTACATGTGATGAAATTGATTCTAAATTATTGCAATCGAAGAAACCAGCACTCAGTCCTGGTGATTCCACGAGTGGAGTTATGAATGTACAAAAGAAAATGACATTTTTACCGCAGAAGAACTTGATAAATTAATTTCATAAACGTAAAAGTGATGCAAATGACGAAAATAGAAATTGTAGAAATAGGAAATCAAATGATTCAAGTCTGGGGAGGATTACGGACACCTGACAAAAGCGGCGAGCTGGCAATACTAGATTAGCCAAAAATGTTCCTGGATGGAAGATAATTCACTGAAGTGATTTTGTTTAATGTCTCAAAAAAAATTCAATTGGCTTTTATCCACAGGTAAGTAATATGAATAATAATATATTTTCAGTACTACTATATTTTTAGTACCACTATATTTTCATTTTTTTCTCATAATAAACCCCAAGAGAGAAAACTCAACACGTGCAATCTTCAATAAATAAATTTCAGAGAGTCGTGTGACTCTTCTCTCAATTGTACTCAACAATAAAAGTTCGATTGCACCCTTTTTGATTTTACAGAAAAAAATGAGCTTGATAAAAAAAAAGAAAGTCGATGCCACATACATACAGCTGTTAGCTTCAAGAGAGAAGAAAGAATGGACGAAGGAATTATTCATTACGACCCAAACGTGGAGGTCCCTGACAACTTTCAGGGGCGAGTTCTGCTTTGGAGACGTCTGCCAAATGGCA